ACACTTCCACTTGTTTTACCCCTCTATCCCACTTCATAATTCCTTTTATCTTGAAGGCTCTCATGGTAGGTATCCCCTCCTTACTCATGGGTGACAATTGCATGGATTTAGACTCCAGCACCACTTCTTCTTCTGGATCTTCAGGTTCTTCCCCATCTGTTTATTCGTCAGCATCTGAGTCTTCAACTAACATCAACTTGTAGTGCCTCAGTTTGCAGGTATGCTCTTTATTCCACTTTTCTCCACACTTGAAACACAGCCCCTTCCTGCTTCTCTCTTGAAATTCTTCTTGGGATAATTGTGGTGCTACCTTCCTGATTCCTGAAGTTTGCATATATGTGACCTTCCCCATTCTCTCAAACCAGGAATTGAAATTTCTATTATCACCAGCACCTTTTCCTTGATTATTGAATTCAGAGTTACCATATCTGGCCTTGTAACCTTCTCCCCAGTTCTGAGACTTGCTAGGCATCTGTCCTTTGTCTTTTCCTCCCATCTTTTCATCCTCCTGCTTCTGCAGATGTGTAGCTTCATTCTTTCTCTCAATCAGCACTGCTACATCCATAACCTCAGCTAAAGTTCTGGGGTTATATAGTTTCAATTCAGCTTTCACTTCATTCTTCAATCCAGTGATAAAAATTCCTCTCAGTATTTCCCTGTCCACAGTCCTTTGAGGTGCTATAGTCAGCTCAAATTCATCCCTGTAATCACTCACAGTACCAGTCTGCTTCAAGCTTAACATGGGCTCATAAGGATTCTGCATCAGCTCCGGTTGAAACCTGCGTATCACAGACTCCTTCAAAGTTTCCCAGTTCTTCTCCTCCGTTTGGTGTTCCCACCATTGAAACCAGTTTAGAGCTCTTTCTTCCATAGCCAATATGGATACCTCAAGTTTATCCCCCTCCGCAATTTGATTCAGTATAAAATATCTCTCCATACGTATTAGCCAGTTATAAGCCCCGTTTCCATTAAATAGTGGTAGATCTACCTTACGAGCAGTCTGAATATGAAAACGATGGTGATCCTCTCCATATCTATGCTCACGATGAATAGTATGTGCGGAATTATCTCTCGAAGAAATAGGAGTGTGCGATGGTCGCTAGTGCCTGCGATGGTGTGATCGCAACCTTCCTCTGTCTCGTAATTCCTCCCTCATGCCGTTCATGGCAACCATCATCGCCTCCATCCTCTCATTCATTCGCAGAAAGTTTTCCTCCATCGTGATCCGACTATGTTCCACAGCTTCTAATCGTTGTTCCATCTTTGCTCGTGTTCGAACCATCCACCACTGGAAACGACGGTATTCAGTCGCAGCAACGATCACTTCAGATCACCGGGAACGACGGTATGTTCTGATACCAATGATAGAATACTGACAATAATCAAGCAATAGCAGTAACAATATAGAGAAGATCTGCAAAGAAATGGAGTAATAGTAGTGTTTATTGAAGGAAACGATCAACGCAGGGTACAAGCAACGGGACTGTTCGAGAAGCCCACTCTCCAAGCCTAAATGCCAATTCAATAACAGCCTCCTTCATTAGTTATTTTCCCAACTATTTATAGCCCATAACCCTCTTCCTTCTATTAAAATCACAGGCCCACTTATTAATATCTATAATAATAGGCCCACTTATTAATAATTCCTATCACTATACCATCTCTTGAGCCCTTTGTTCCGTCTATTGTCGATGACTCCATTCCCAACCAGTCTCCTTTAGATCCAGTAGACGACTTAACCAACCAAAGTCCTCCTCTTATTACCTACCAACGTAGGACCCAACAAACCAATTCAATTCTTCAAAGTGAGCCCTCTTCATCAGATCCTTCTCAATCATCACCCTCTTCCACAATTCTTGATAATGATGATTTAGCTTGGCCGGTTGCTCTCAGGAAAGGTACTCGCTCTACCCGTAATCCACATCTTATTTACAATTTCCTTAGCTATCATAGACTTACTCCTTCCTATTGTAACTTTATATCCTCCGTCTCCTCAATCACAATTCCCAAAGATGTGAAAGAAGCACTTGATCATCCTGGATGGCGACAAGCCATGATTGCATAAATGCGGGCTCTTGAACATAATAAAACATGGGAATTAGTTCCGCTTCCACCAGGAAAGAAAGCAGATGGATGTCGATGGGTTTATGCCATTAAAGTTGGTCCGAATGGAGAAGTGGATCGTCTCAAAGCTCGGTTAGTTGCCAAGGGACACACCCAGATCTATGACCTTGATTATAGTGATACATTTTCTCCAGTGGCCAAAATGACTACTATTCATCTCTTTTTTGCCATGGCAGCCATTTGTCATTAGCCACTTTATCAGCTAGACATAAAATATGCATTCTTACATGGTGATCTGGATGAGGAGGTCTACATGGAGCAACCTCCTGGGTTTGTTGCTCAGGGGGAGTCTGGTTTGGTGTGCAAGTCACGCCGCTCTCTTTATGATCTAAAGCAATCCCCACGAGCTTGGTTCGGAAAATTTACTTTTGTTGTTCAAGCTTTTGGGCTGAAACGTAGTGAAACAGATCATTCTGTTTTTTAATGCCACACTTCTCTTGGTAAATGTGTTTACTTGATAGTGTATGTGGATGACATTGTTATAACAGGAAATGATGTTGCAAAAATATCTCACTTGAAGGAACACTTGGGCAATCATTTCCAGACCAGGGATCTTGGGAGTCTCAAATATTTCATGGGTATTGAAGTGGCCCAGTCAAAAGAAGATGTTGTAATCTCTCAAAGGAAATATGCTCTTGATATGCTAAAAGAAACAGGAATGATCGATTGTAAGCCCGTAGATAGTCCTATGGACCCGAACCAAAAGTTATTGCTAGAACAGGGAGAGGTTTTTTCTAATCCAGAGAGGTATAGACGGTTGGTTGGGAAGCTCATTTACCTCACTATCACTAGACCGGATCTATCATTTGTAGTGGGTGTTGTTAGTCAGTTTATGCAGGCGCCATACACTGAGCATTGGAATGCTGTCATTCGCATCCTAAGATACATAAAAAAGGCTCCAGGATAAGGCTTGCTATATGAAGACAAAGGGAACACTCAAATCCTTGGGTATTGTGATGCTGATTGGGCAGGGTCTCCTGTGGACAGACGATCCACTACAGGATATTGTGTCTTTCTTGGAAGATATATTATTTCTTGGAAAAGCAAGAAACAAAATGTAGTTGCCCTATCCTCCGCTGAAGCGGAATATAGGGCAATGATGTCTCTCACTTATGAGCTCATATGGGTAAAACAATTTCTTCAAGAGTTAAAGTTTTGTAAGGTTCAACAAATGAAGATGTATTGTGATAACCAAGCTGCCCTTCACATCGCCTCAAATCCGGTGTTCCATGAGAGAACCAAACACATAGAAATCGATTGCCATTTTGTTCGGGAAAAGTTGATGTCTAAAGAAATCAGCATTGAATTTATTGGGTCCAATAATCAACTTGCAGATGTGTTGACAAAGTCTTTGAGAGGTCCTCGAATTGAATTTATTTGTTCCAAGCTTGGTACATACAATTTGTATGCTCCAGCTTGAGGGGGAGTGTTAGATTTATCAAGATTTATTGGTAGCTAAATAGACTCCTCTGTATTTTCTAGAACTGATCTTTCATCTTATTTGACCTTTCATCTCCTCACTCTCATTAATGTACTTGTACACTCATTATTATAAATAAAGGAGTTCAGGGTTGTGGACAGACACACAACCATGAAATTATTCTCTTCTTTTAACTCTCTTTTATTCAAGTACCTTGAAAAATATAAAGGAAAATAGAACATGGTTAATGTTTTCTAAAAAATGATATATAGTTAGGTGTCTGAATCGTTATATAAAAGAAGGAATTATATGAGTTTGAAGCTTGAACAAATATCGAATACGGAGTGTTAAATTTGCTCTAAGTCTATGTTCCCACAAATTTTGCTTCCTTCATGTTTTTTACCCTAGTGTTTTTGATGTTCCAAACGGGCCATAAAGATATTTTCCATGCCATGCATCAGCTTCCAAAAGAAGCCTCAGTCCTCAGAAAAATAAAAATCAACGGGGTGAACCGTTGCCCACAGATAATCAACTATAAATAAATACCGTTGCCCAGAGCCAAAAGGCTAAGGCTATGTTTGGCACACAAAAGACTCTAGCTTCTAACTTCTCTATTCTTTAAAAAGACCTTAAAAGACTCTAGTTGTATGTTTGGCATGATATTTTTTAAGACCTTTTCAAAAATTAAAAGCTCTTTATTGATATGCTACCGCGTGTAGCATCTGAGAAAAACTCGTGACTTTTAGTATTAATTAGTCCTAACAGCTTGTATACCAAACAGAACTAAATCAAACAGTCAGCTTTTTACCAAACAGCTATCACCTTTTCTTTTTAAGATCTTTTCAATCACTAAAAGTTAACAGTTATTAAAAAGCTCACAAAAGTATCTTTTCAGCTAGTTGTGCCAAACATACCCTAAACCAACTTTTATTCCAAGATAATAAGAATGAACCCTGGCAAGGGGTATGAATAGCTTCTACAAGCAACCCTAATCAAGCCCAAATTAATTAAATCCTAATTAGGCCAATACTAACTCTACTAAGTACTCTACTAATAATAGGCCCAAACTAGAAAACATAACATAAACTTTATAATAATATATAAAACTATAACCCTAACCCACAACCAGCCCACGGAGGTGGGCCCAAGCCCGTTCCCGCCCCTTGATCTCTCTGCTCTCTATCACTCTCACACTAAATCTAATAATTAGGGATACAATTGCTTCTCTCCTCAGCAAATAACAAATATCAAATTATCAACCACTGCATTCAGTTGAATGCATGTTGATACTTATTAACTTATGTCTAACAATACAGAAGTAGCGATAAATTCCAATCAAGTAGGCTCCCTTCAACCGCTGTAAATGTTTATAATTCATAAATGATGCCATTAGAAAGGCGGACAAAGAACTAAAGCATGAGAGCCGAAAATGACTTAAGTATAAATCTCTACATACAGGAAGTTAAGTTCTGTCAGCTTGCCTAACGAATCTGGTATAGGTCCTGTGAAGTTGTTCAAGTAGAGATCCAATTGCTTCAGATTTGACAGGTTTCCAAGATCACTGGGAATTACCCCAGTTAGCTTATTGCCGTAAAGCTCCCTGTAAAAATCATTATTTTATTGCATAAGAAATAATGTTTCTAGTTTCAAGTACTAGTTTACTCTCTAATTTACTCATATAAATTTACTGTATGCATCACACCTGAGTAGAATCAGATAGCATCATAAGGGAAATGTACAATGCACATCAAACCGTACCAAAATGGGAGGATTAAGGTCAAACCGTCAAATTTGAAAGAAAGGTCTAAGGATCTTTGGACATACAATCTCTGCAAATTCTTAAGCAAGCCAAGTTCAGAGACTAATTGGCCTGATAGATTAGCATTTCCCAAATCACTGTAAATAACGAAAAATAAGATTTAAAAAGGGTTCAGAATTTTACAAAGTTTAATGCACACACTAATGATTCAACTTTGCATGCTTAAAGTCGTAGAGAAAGAGAGAGCACAATTCTCACACTCTCGTAACACTTTTATTGTCACAAGTAACATGGAACCATGTGCAAGGATCCCCGGAACCAGATTCCCAAGTCTTCAAACTTTGGTCAGGATCTTGTAAGTTGGCCTTTAGTTTGTACAAAGCATCACCTACTCATACATCACACAATAGTATGGTGTTAATTAATGCACTTGTGATCATTCTCATAGTAAGCGCACATTGCATAAATATATGCGTGAGGCAATGAGAAACACTCGTCATTGAAAAATAAAACAGAAAATAAATACGGAGAATGAAGTTCATTAAAGTTCTTGATTATAACCAGCAGCTAACTGGATATACCCCAGGGTACAGTTAATTGTTCATACAAACACATCAAACAGCTTAAAAAGTTGAAATTATGCATACTCTCATTTCAATTTACAGGTGAAAGAATCATTTTATAGGAACTATACCTGAAACTTAGGATACCCACTTTGGTGATAACCTCAAAAGCTAAAATTGGAAAGAAAAATTGAAGTAACAACAACAGGAACAACACTAATCACAATAAAGACAAGTTATCCACAAAATTACCACCTTCCTGGTTAGCAATAATGAGCCTCAATGGATGAAGAATGATTAGCAAAAGTGCCCATAGAACCAAGACCTCTCTCTGTACCCCTTTCATCATAATATATACACACATTTTTCTGTCTCTATATATAGACACATAAGCTGCTGCAAAAAAAAGTAAATTCCTTTCTTAGAAACAATGAAAGGCGCATTCATTTTTACCCAAACCCCCCACAAAACCCTATACTCTAAAGACCACCCGATCTTTCTTTCTTTTTTTTATGAAGACCACCGGATCTCATAAAATATTAAAGTAGTGTTCTAAAGGGTCAAGGGTCAAATAGCTCATTTGATCCTAATCACCAAATATTAGCTATTTTATTATTGGCTAAAGGGTCAAATAGGTCCATGAACTAACTTAAAGTAGTGTTCTATTAGCTTGGCCGTTGTCAATTGTGATGGTTTCCGGTGGAATTTTTTGATGAAATTTTTTGAGCATACTCTTCATTAAAGGGGTGTTTGGATCTGATTCTCAAAACTGATTCTGCTCCTTTACGGAGTGGAAGCAGAAGCTGAAGTGTTTGAGTGAAATTCTAGAAGCACTTCTGGAGCTCTAATTTACTCTCAGAATCAGTTTTTTTAGAAGTTGGTTCCGATTCTGATTCTGAAAACTGATTCTGCTTCTGCTTCTGTTTTTAAAAAAGAAGTAGAAGCAGAATCAGTTTCAAACACCCCCTAAATCTAGTTTACCCATATCAAATTTCAGCTAAAAATTCAACCGGGAAGGCAATCAAATGATTTATGAAGATAACTGCGCAGTTAAACAGTGTAGTACATTTCGAAAAATCATTTGACTGTCTTTCCGATTTAATTTTTAGCTGAAATTTGATATGGGTAAACTAGAATTAATGAAGAAGATCTCAAAAAATTTCATCAAAAAATTCAAACGGGAACCTTCCCAACTGGCGATGGCCGGGCTGAACTCCTATATAAAGATTTTTCTCTCCGCAGCTGACTGAAATTTTTTTTCTTGTGATGTGTTGAGCACTTCCTCCTCCCCACTGTGTTTATCTTTCCTTTTTCGGGCGTCTGGTATCTTTCGCAAATGTTTCCTAAAAAATAGCGTTCCGTACCTTCTCTTCTGACTCTTGATTATTTGAATCCATAACTTTTCAACGGTTGACTGCATGCATTTCCCAAACTAACAATAATGTTCCTCTCATCTCCCAGAATAATTATGTACAATGATACTCCACCAGTCCCTCAATACTCACGTTAGACACGGAAAATAATAAAGTAAAAATTGTGTGTTTAACTTTTGTGCACATGAGAGAGAAATAACAGTAACCAGACTAACAACAAATTAATTGATTAAAATGAAAAGTTGCAAAGTTTTTAGGTCAACCAAAAAAGGAAAGATGACAAAGTTATAAGGGACGGAAGGAGTACTTTGAGGTGAATATTTGTGAAATGATAAAATAAAAATGTCATTATTTGTGGTGCGTACTTTTTTTAGGGATGGTGGTACTACTTAGGACGTGTTTAGTTCACTGTTAAAGTCATAGTTAGGTTAATAAAACAGATGAAGTAAACACGCAGGTTACTTAAAAAGCTGCTTACTAACCGAAATAGATGCTTAAAGTGGTGCTTACTAATCATATCACCCTCATGTATTAATTAAGCGGCGCTTTAAATTTTTTCAGTTTTCGAGTTTACCCTTACGCTTACCCTTTTATGGTTACCCACCCCTACCTCTACTCCTACCCCACACCTACCCTACCCTACCTTACCTAGACCCACCCTGACCCGACCCCTACACCACCTCGTACCCCATAACCCCCTACGCGTAACCATTAGCCCTACCCCTACCATACCTCTACCGCTTACCTGTCCCCGTACCCCTAGCCCCTACCCCCCTACTTGACCTCGTGCGGTCATGCCCAACCCCCTATCCCTTCCTCTAACATGTGTACCCTACCCCAACCCTTGTGTACGGGGTGGTAGGGGAGTAGGGGTAGCGGGTAAGGTCGTGGTAGGGGTAGGGGTAGGGGTAAGGAAGCGGCTGGGTGGGGGATAGTGTAGGGTGTTGGTTGGAATTGGGATAGGGTACGTGGCAAGGGTTAGGAGTTAGGGTAATAGGTACGCGTACGGGGTGGCCCCACATATTATATTGTATACTTGTGTACATGAATGTTTGTGTATCTATATATGTATAGCGTTATTTTGGATATTTTAATGTCAAACGGTGTTTTAAATCATGTGAAGTAAACATGAGCTTATAGCACTACTTATTTCACGCGCCGCTTATTAATGCAAGTCTTAATAAACACCGTTTAGTAGCTTGTGAAATAAACGTGTCCTTAGTTTTTTGTACTTGTTAGATTTAAGTCCGAAATATGGAAACATTATAATTACAATACATATTGAAATTAAAAAAATACGTAGTAGTATTATATACTTGTATATAGAAAAAATTTTAAAAAAAAAAATTCAGTACATTCAACTAATTTGGAAAGAAAAATAACTTCGGATTTACTTACTTTAATAATAACACAACTCAACATGCGAAATCAAAAGTTCATGACCCGTTATTTATTTCTCCGATTTTTGTTAATGTCTACAGCTACTCCAATTAATAAGAAATTAATAAGGTACTAATTTCATAATTAATGATATATAAAAGCAGTGAGTTAAGAGCTTGAGAAGTTTAGATAGAGAAGAATAAATGTGACATTTTAGTATTTGTAAATCTCTTTTTCGAGAGTGCACCATCAAAAATTTAGATATAGGTAATTTAAACTTTCATTGTATATATTAAGGATCCTTTAAAAAATTACTAAAATAAAACTTATTTACACAAATATGATCAATAGTTACTACAATATGATATCATGATCACTTAAGTTTAAAAATTAAACATGAGTTACTATGATCAATTTACTATTATAGTCATTATATTATTCACATTTTTGTAACATACATTAACCGCTGTCACCAACTCTTCTTCATTCGCTCACGGGTCACCGGTCGCCCAAACTTGCCCAAACCACTTTTGTATGAAAAGAAAGAAACAAAGAAAGATAAAAATAAAAATTATTGCCATATGAATTGAACGTTCAAGTAAGCAATAACTGGCAATACTCATATCCAACCAGCTAAATAACAAAATTGAGTACTTTTAATATATCAAGTATTTGATTGATTCACCTATAAGTACGAGAATCTAATTGCTTTTTTGACAATAGTACGGGGACTTTTCTTGAAATAACTCCAAAGTATCTAAAGGCACTCCGAATGTAACTTCAGAAAAAGTAGCTCAATTGTCCATAAATTAAGTAGATTTTTTGCTTGAAAATATATTTTTTATAGACAAGTGTTATCAAAAGCAATTAATTCAAATTAAAAAAGAAATTTAAAGCAATTGCAAACACCACTTGAATATAGTAAAATTGTGTTTCTTTGTTAAAAAAAAGGACTAGTGTAGTATCCTTGGGATGCACAGGGAAACTTGTTTTTCATGGAGTAAATAGTTCCTTTACACACATTTATTGTAGTTTTATAAACTCTAGAATAAAAAATAATTATTATTTTTTTTTACAAAATCAGACCCTTTACCTTGAGGGATTCAAATTAAAAGATGGGATTGGGTGGAACATTTTTAATAAGAATTCTTTAAAAAAAATCTAACAAAAATTAACATCATCATCATCATCATCATTATCATCACCTCAGTGCCGCAAATGCCCCACCTACGGTGGGGTAAGGAGGGGTCAGATGTACACAGTCTTACCCCTGTACTAAAGTACAAATAGACTGTTTCCGGATGACTCATAGTGAAAATCACGTCCAGAATGCATGGACTGACTGCAGCTTCATAACAAAGAAGCGCAGACAGTTTAGTGAGTCATTTTGCTTTATTCAATCATATTTTCAAGCCAAAAAATAGTGAGTCTTTCGCTCCATTGCAAATGATGGAAAGAAAAATTAACATGTTGGTTTAAAATATTAATTCTTATTAAAAATTAATTAAACATTTTTTAAATTGGATTGAAATATTTAATCCAGTAGATATCTTTTACATGTGTATTATATTGTGATTCTCTATAGTAATTAACTTTAGCAAAAAAGTAACTGTAACTTTATTTATTTTGATGGTTATAGAATTTATCGTGTACAATCAAAAGTTACTAGTTTAGTACAAAAAATATTGGACGATGAGCTAAAAATAAGAGTTACAAAACAGGCATTTAAAGAGGGTATTATTTCAAGAATTGTGGGGGCAATTAAAGAATAAATTTTCAAACACAACTTTTCCAATACGGAGAATAGTACTTTCTTTAAAAATTTCTGTGTACAATTTATGTATTCTTGATTATATCTTTGTAGTTCTCAAGCTCCCTCTAGGCCCGATTATGTTATTTTATCTTACAAAATCTCGCGTTGAATTCACATCCATACTTTTTATTATCAAATTTTGAATCTTAATCATCTTTACATATGTTTTTGTTATTTCATAAGACTGTTGGTCCATTTTCTAAATATTTATGAGCACTAATAAAAAAATTACTAGATAATAACTAAATTTTTGAGAAAATTCGCAAAATAGAAGTAAAAATGTTTTGGAAATTCCAAAATGGTACTATCATGATTTCATTCTCTAAATATAAATAAATACTGTCAATTTTGAAAAATAGTTCCAAGTTCAAAGCCTGAGATTGCCAAAACATAACAGTAGTTTGTCCTATATAAAAAATAAAAACATAATAGTCCTATTTTGAAATACACAAACAATTTTAGTCATATTTAGGATAATTTCCCCTAATTTTTCTTGTCAACCAACCTCCTTAACTGTTATTTGTGTATCTTTCTTAGACTAATGGAGTAGTACTCTACTTAATCCTTAGGCTATGTTTGGTACACAAAAGCCTCTAGCTTCTAGCTTCTTTACTCTTTAACACTCTTTAACAAGATCTTAAAAGACTCTAGTTGTATATTTGGCATGACATTTTTTAAAAACTTTTCAAAAATTAAAAGATCTTTTTTGAAATGCTACCAAGTGTAACATCTGAGAAAAGCTCGTGACTTTTAATATTATTTAGTCCTAACAGCTTGTATACCAAACCGAACTAAATCAAACAGTCAGCTTTTTAACAAATAGCTATCACCTTTTCTTTTTAAGATCTTTTCAGTCACTAAAAGCTAACAGTTACTAAAAAGCTCACAAAAGTATCTTTTCAGCTACTTGAGCCAAACCAGGGCTTGACTTGGGCCGGGCGGCCTGACCCGGAACCGGCCTGGCCCGGTGAACCGGGTGGCTGGCGGTTCGGGTCGACCCGGCCCGGGGGGGAGGGCGGTTCGGGCTCGGGCCATGATATTCTTGAACCGGCCGGGCCGGGCCCGGGCCGGGCCGAACGGCTATTTTTTTAAAAAAAAAATCTTTTCCGAAGTTTGAAGCCTTGGGCTGGCTGGCAAACGGCTCTATAGCCGTTGGGGAGCCTCCAAACGGCTCTATAGCCGTTGGAGGGGGGATGGGGGGGAACCTATTTATACTCCTATTTTCTATACATTTTTTACACCTTCATACAATCCTACTCTCTAATTCTCTACTCTCTAATTCTCTATTCTCTCAATCTCTAAAATCTTCATTCATCTCCATCTTCATCTTCTCCAATTATCTCTACATATATATATATATATAATTTATATAATTATTATTATATCTACTTATATAGTTATATATTTATTATCTACTTATATATACATATATTATATTACTAATATTTATTATCTACTTAATATATATTTATTATCTTCTTAATATTTAGTTTGATATATAATTATCTACTTTACAAGTTTACATACATTGATACATATATTATATTAAAATTACATACACTTATATTATATTACTTATATTCCTTATCTACTTAATCTCTACCTATTATCTACTTATATTACCTATATTACAATTTGTATCTACTTAATATACACTTTATATATTAAAGTATTCAATATAAGTGTATTACTCATCTTATAGTAGTATACTTATATATTTTATACTATAAACATTATATATAAAATATACTTATATATATATATATATAAAACATTATATATATATATATATATATATATATATATATATATATTCGAATTACTATATATAGTAGTATTATATATTCCAATTTCGAAGTATATTATACTATATTCGAATTACTATATATATATATATATATATATATATATATATATATATTTTACTCCAGGGGGTTCTGGGGTTGGGGGTTGGGGGAGTCTGGAGTAATCAGGGCTGAAACTCACTCAATTGAGTTTCAAGCCCTTATGTGCCTAGCGGGATTCGAACACGAGACTTCTCACTAGGCACGGTAACCTCGCAACCAGATGGGCTGGAATGCTTGGTTATATATATTATACTTATATATATTATATAAGTATACTTCGAATAAAAAAAAGTATAATATATATAATATTATACTTATATATATTATACTTTTTTTATTCGAAGTATATTTGTTTAATATTGTATTAACATTACTTGATTAGTTAATTGTATTAGTCATCTTATAGTAATACACTTATAAATTATATACTATAAACATTATATTATATATTAGTTATACACTTATAGAATTCTATTACCTACAAGTAGTTAATAGAATATTGTTACATTTTAATTAAAGTATAAAAGTAGTTAATTGTTGCATTTGTCATTTCGCTATTACAAGTATTTAATTGTTACATTTTAATTAAAGTATAAAACTAGTTAATTATTGCATTTTTCATTAAAGTGTACAACTAGTTAATTGTTACATTTTAATTATAGTGTACAACTAGATAATTGTTGCATTTTATTATTACTGTTGTACTCATATTAAAATATTTGATATACTTTTATATTTGTTAAGATGGACTGTGGTAGACATTCTGTAGATATGGGAAATCTCCAACGCAACCGAAAGAAGGAGATTGCGAGAACTCATCCTAGTTTGCACAAAAATACCGGGCAGTCCGGGTCTTCTTCTCAAAGTCGACAAGATTTTGAACCGGAATACCAACGACAAGATGGCGATGCGATGTCCGACGAGCAACTACAACAACTATTGGCTCAAAATGATGGGCAATTTTTCCATCAACGAGACATCCCGGACGAGATTCACACCATTGACGAAGAAGAGCTTGAGGATGACGATCCGGAGGAGGACGCGGGGGGCGCCGGGAGTCACGGCACCCCGGATGAGGAGCAAGAGGCGGAGGACGAGGGTGGTTCATCCCAAATAGGTACGAAATCTAAATCTCCTATTATAGAAAATAATTTAAAAAAGTATAAAGACCCAAGCACCGAGAAATGGTACGCAAGTTGCAACCATTGCGATAAGGTGTATAGCTTGGGAACTTCAGGCGGATACGGGAGCCTCAAAAGGCATCTTATGGGCAAGTACAAGGTGGAGTACGCAAAAATTGAGAAAGGCAAGGGGAAGCAAACACAAATATCGAGGTTTGCAAATAACCAACCTTATGGTAATTTCTCAAACAATGATCAACAAAATTTGACTGGTATGGCTAACTTTATGGTTGAAGAAAATTTACCTTATTTGTTTTCTGAAAGTGTTTCTTTTAAAGAGTATGCACAAACTTGTTTAAATCCTCAATTTCGAAGTTATAGTTGAAAAACAGTTAAGAAAGAAATTATAAGGCTTTATAAGGCGGAAAAGGCAAACTTACAAAAAAAATTTGCAAACTTTGATGGGCGTGTTACTGTTTGTTCTGACATATAGGAGGACACCTTTCATAATTTACATTATTTTGGTTTGATTGCACATTATGTTGATGATGATTGGAATATGCATAAACGTGTTCTTGCTTTTCGTGAATTTAATGATCGTCACACCGCTGAACATATTTATATTTTGATTGAGTGTATTTTCATTGAGTATAATTTGGTTAATAAGGTGTTTGCTATAGGTTTTGATAATGCTACTAATAATACTGTTATACTGCTGCTATACCTAGATTGCGTGAATTGTGTGGTTCTACTACTTTGATAGGTAGATTTTTTTCATCAACGATGTGCATGCCATATAATAAATTTATGTGTGCAGGATGGTCTAGAAGCGTTGGGAGATGCTATGGAGGTAGCGAAGGGGGGGGGGGGGGATTAGACGTATTTGGGCTAATGGTCAACTTAAATTAAAATGGAAAAATTATTTGAATGAAAGAAATGTGAAATATGTTGCTTTTCCTAAAGATTTGTCTATTCGGTGGAATAGTTCCTAAAAATTAATTAGAGTTCTAATTAGATATAAAGAACATTTTCCTACTTTTTTAAAAGAATATGATAACTACATTTTAAACTCCGCTCACATCGACACTTGCGAAAAAATTTGTAATGTTTTGATATATTTTAATAATGCAACTGAAAGTTTTAGTCATGTTTATAAACCTACTTCAAACGAATTGATTCGTGAACTTGTTAATCTCGCCGGTGCTTTTAATGAATTTGCAAATGCTGATTATGTGAGCTATTTTTGTGGTTTTATGAAGGAAAAGTTTTTAAAATATTATGCACATATTCCGCATATTTATGGTATTACATTTATTCTCGATCCTCGTTTTCGACTTGGTAATTTGGAACAATGTTACAAGTTCTATTATCAATCTTTTTATGGTGATTTTCCAATGTATGAAGATAACCCTATAGATCCGCAATCTGAATACAACGAGGTTAGTAGTTTATTCTATTCTTTATTTAATGAGTTTCGTGCACAATATGGCAACGCGCCCCCTCCCTTGACCCAAACATCTTCATCTAAAGGAAAATCACTTTTTAAATCTCCATTTGGCAATCTTATGAAAAAAACTAAAACAACTCACACTACTGAACAAAGCACAATTATGAGATTGCTTTGTATACTAACTATGAGGTTGAGTTTGTAGAAAATGAAGAATTTGACGTCCTAAAGTGGTGGAAGTAAAAAGAAAGAATGTTCCCGATTTTAGCACGGATGGCTAAGCAAGTACTATCAATGCCGGTTTCAACAGTTGCCGTGGAACAGGAATTTAGTTCGGCCGGCAACGTCCTAACTAAATCGAGAACGTGTTTGATTGCCGAATCTCTTGAGACGCTTATATGCTACCACGATTGGTTGAAGGCAAGATGTAAAACTCAAGAAGTTAGCATCACCCCCTCCCAAGACTTTATGGATGAATCAACCGATGGTGGTTCTACCTATGCCGGAGATTTCGATTGATTAGTATTTTACAATTTATTATTTTATCCTCAATTCTCTATTGTAATTTGTCAACTTGTAGATTTGTAGTTCATATTTCAAATCAATATACATTATATTTTTTATATGTCGCATTTCTCAAATTAATCAAGTTACAACTTACAACTTAGAAAGTCAGAAACTTACAATTAATTATATTATATTATTACGGAGTATTACTTATTACAAAATGTATTAGAATTAATTGTTCTCAATTCTAAAATATAATTCCTATTTCACATAAATGCACTTGAAGATTGTTTTTTAATATCCAAAAAGATGTATATTTTAACATATAAAAAAAATTATACAGGCCCGACCCAACTTGGCGGTTCACCCGGCCCGGGACCCGGCCGGGTCACCTGGCCCGAACCGGCACCCGTCTATTAGCGGGCCGGGCCCAGGCCAACTTCTGCAAACCGAGGCCCGGCCGGTTCGAGGCCCGAACCAGACCGAGTCCAGGCCTAAGCCAAACATACCCTTATACTAACGTACTACCTCCGTCCCGTTGGAATGTTCCCGGTTTGACCTACACACATATTAAGGAAATAAACTTACCAGGGGGTAAATTTTACTGTTTGGACACTGTTTGACACTGTTTGACATTGTTTTGATGTAGAATAACTTTCCATTTAAGGAAATGAGAACTTTCCATTGGGACATCCAAAAAAGGGAAGTGGGAACATTCCAACGGGGCGAAGGTAGTACTTTTTAGAGCATCTCCAATGCTATAATGTCCACGTTGCATATGTGGCATGAGTGATAGCCACATAAATATTAGCAAATAAATTATTTCTCTCCTTATTTGAATGATTTTATACAATTTTGGTAAGTTTTTCCCTGCAATGTCAACAACAATGTCAACATCTAGACGGTCTCCTTGACAGTGTGGAGAAAAACTTACCAAAACTGTATAAAATCATTCAAATAAGGAGAGAAAGAATTTATTTACTAATATTTATGTGGCTATTTCTCATGCCACGTGTGCACCGTGCACATTTTACCATTGGAGATGCTCTTAAGACACTTTTTAAAATGGATTAGTACGTAGTATTTTATTTGCCCTCTACTCTTTCAGAAACTTTTGTAGGGCCTACACATTTTATACTCATCAACCAAAACAATTAATCAATAATACATTCTTTAAAATAAATTAGAATAAGTTCTTATCCAAAATGTCACCAGGTTTCATCTCTTCTATCAATTTTTTCACATCAATGGTTAAAATTAATTCTTATTTTTCACTTAAGAATCACTTTTTATTTGAACCAGACTCAAGACTTACATATACATATATAATGACCTAGTTTTGTCACCACTTTCAAACATTAGATTTCTTTTGTGTATTAAGCTTATAAAATAGTGCAACTCTGTACTAGTGTACTACACACCCATACGCATATTAGCACATAGCTGTTACATACACTGATGCACACACAAAGAATACACTTTGATGAGAAAGTGCTTACAAGAAAAGAAACTTTCTAATTGCCCATTCTTTAACCCCTAAACGAAAAATAACAAGGTTCTAAGAAAGAAATCCCATGCTGATAGGAGCCTTGGAGAGTTGGAGGTCACCTAGGACCAGACAGTTCAACGGCATGCAAATTTTCAGTAGAGTCTACAATCCAATCAGAAGTGGAGTGAGGAGGTGTTGCTAGTTCAACCTCCTGCCGAAGAACCTCCACCTTCTGCCACTCGTCCCACCTCTCGGCCAACCCATCACCTTCCAACATCCTCACCACGTCTGACATCTTGGGCCGCTCCATTGGGCTGCTCTGCGTGCATAGCAATGCGACCTGGATTAGCTGCTCCACCTCTCCTTCTACATAATTATTTGCCAGATCAGGATCAACAAGCATTTCCAGTTTCTTCTCCTTGAGCAGTCCTTTCACCTGGACAGAAAGATGAAGGGATATTTAATAAATCATCATTACACGCACCATGAAACTGTACCTGACATGTATGATGCAGGTGTACAAGGAATGACTGGAATAGTCGTTATCCATAAATTACCCCTTTATCTTGTCAGTTAAGACATAGTTTGTCATGAAGTAATGTAATGTGATCAAATGCATGTGCAGTGCAAATTTAAACCATTACGTGTACTTCGGTAGGCCGTTATAACATGAATTTGATTACAATTTCATTTCATTACTTACCAAACTACACCTAAAAACAGATCTGAAGCTCGTTTGGTGAACTTTCTAGTTTCTACCAGTTGACGTGCCATATTATTCATCAAACATTAAATATTGCTCTATGATGGCTGAAACGGCTTATAATGGGGGGGAAAGTAATGTAGGTGTTACTTTTCTTTACTGAAATGGTTGAAATTAAAGAAAATGACACTTACACCTTCATTTTAGATATAATTTCTATATTTTATTTAAGAAATACAAAGAACACTTGAAATAGCATATTCAGCTACAACTTGAACAAATATAGCAGATTCATCAACTGTAACCATTGGAGGTCTTAACAAAGCAGGCTCTTCATAACGTTACACATTATTCAGGTCTGCCAAACTACAACTAGATGTTCATTGCATAGCACATAATCATAGACTAGCAAATCTATAACAAGATATTGAAATGGATATAAGATCAGTCATGTTCCGTAGATATATGATAAGGTGTTAATGATGATCAGATGATGCACATAAATAGATGTTTAAAAGAAGGTGTGCATACCCAGTCAAGCAACATGACATCATCATCATTAGCTAGACGAGCAAGATCAAAGGCTCTTTGTCCAGTGATAAGCTCTAGAAGCATGATGCCATACCCAAACACGTCGGTTTTTTCTGAAGACTTCCCAGTGGATAGGTACTCTGGTGCTATATGTCCAATTGTGCCACGCACAGCTGTTGTAACATGAGTATCCTTATAATCCATAAGTTTGGCCAACCCAAAGTCTCCTACAACTGCCTCAAACTCTTCATCCAATAGTATGTTTGCAGCTTTTACATCACGATGGATTATCTTTGGATCACAATGGTCATGTAAATATGACAATCCCCTTGCAGATCCCAAGGCAATGCGCTTCCTTGTTGCCCAATCAAGTGGCAGTACATCCGGTGGCCGTTCTACAAGAAACAATGACAAACTCCTATGAGTGAATGATAAGCATGTGATTTAACAGTCAATTTGTCCTCCTTAACTTAGGGGTGGTACTTCGGTTTGGTTTGACCAAACCAATTAACTCGAACAAAAACCAAACCCTAAATTTGATTTTAAATAAGTGTTTCCCCCAAACTTCATACATCTGAACCAAACCGAAAACAATTGAAACCGAACCAAATAAAAATAACAATATCAAACCCCAAAAAACAAGGGAAAAAAGAAATCCAACCCGAACCAAAACTAAGGTGCTAATTCTTCAACTTACGTACTCCCTCCGTCCCATTGGACTTTGCCAACTTTCCCTTTTTGGTTGTCCCAAAAAACTTTGCCACTTTCCTATTAAAGTAACTAATTTGTGGTTCTACACATTTCTCTCTCCTCTATACAAATCTCAACCACACAGTTTTTACTATTCTTATTTCTCACCTACTTTGCACTTGGCAAAGTCCACCGGGACGGAGGTAATATTATTATGGTAATCGGACCCAACAAAACCATCCCAGACTAGAACAAAAAGTGATCTTATATATGACATTTTAAGCAGTTAAATTAGGCAAGACCGTAAACATTCAGATCATATTTTACCAGAAATGATCAGAAAGCAGAACAAAAGGTTCCAACCAGAGTACCACACCAAAAAGACTGAAAAGACTAGATCATATATATGCAGATCAGATCACACTTTTCATTTGATCGTGTTTTTCGAAAAGAGAACATGTGCTGAGTTTGGTTTTAATTCAACAATCATTAATCTGTTTAACAAAACCAAACCAAAAACCAGAGAGAAGAAACAAACAAACTCAACCTGAAAGGTCAGCCTTAAACTAAAGTGCACAAGAGAGCAATGCACCTTGCGCTAAAAAAATTAGCCTGGCATTTTTTATATACAATGAGGATCAAGTAACTAAAGGAAAAACCTAAAAAAGAGAAAAAAGTCAGCGGGCGCATTATACCTCTCAAACACGAGGCAACACTCCCATTGGCCATATAAGGGTAAACAAGAAGGCGTTCAGTGGGCGTCATACAAAAGCCACGCAAACGAAGGAGATTTCTGTGAACTGCCATGCTAATCATCTCAACTTCTGTTTGGAATTGAAGCTCACCACCAGGAGTACGCTCTTCTTTTAACCGTTTTACAGCAACCAACGAACCATCTGCAAGCCGTCCCTTGTATACCTTACCAAACCCACCTCTGCCGAGAATGTTCTTGTTGCTAAAGCTATCGGTTGCAACTTGTAGCTCTCTCAGAGAAAACCTCTTGAGCTGTCCCAAGTGAACTTCAGGGTCTTCTTCCGCTGCCAAAGTCAAACAAAAATGGAATGTTTACATGTGGAAAGTTTTCTTTCGACCTTGTAATGGCGAGCAGGAAAGTATTGAGAGCCATAAAATTTGTTGAAAAATGACATTCAGACAACATGAATGGGATCAGATCTACCAGCTTAAGCTTTTTCTTTTAGATTAGAAAATTCCTTAATTGTAAAATGGTAATGAAGCAGTCTAAGATTCTCAGTTGGAAACTCCAATTTTGAATGAAGGGGGCACATTGAAGAATATTAATTAAAAATTAATCCCTTTTTACAAAAATAAAATTCATGTTTGCTTCTGGCACGTGATTAAGTCGTTAAGAAGGTGATAGTGTATGTTGGAGATTTATTTAGAAATTAAAGAAACGAATACACACCACAATCTTTCCTTCAAGAATTGGAACCGATTTTCAGCTTAAGCTTTTACACTCAAATGGTTCCACAACTTCAAAAAGAGAGAAAAGTAATTATACGTGTTCAAGTACTAACTAACCCGGAACGTCGAAGAAAAACTCGTGTGGCTTTCTACGACGCCACCATGCAAAAGCAAGGGCAGGGACAGCAAAGAGTAAAGCAGCTCCTGCAGCTACTGCTCCAGCTATAGCTCCAGTTAATCCATTTCCACCTTAAGTTTCATACAGCACACAGAGCTTAAAATGGGTCGGTTCTATACATTTTCAACAAAGAATACAAAACCATGCAAACATAAATAATTCATACTGCCAACAACAATTAGCACAATTACCTGGAGAAGAAATTGGAGGTAATGGAATAAATGGTGGAGGTGGAGAAAATGGAGGAGATCCAGGGCAAGGATGTCCAGTAACAGGCCCACAAAGATCCAAATTATTGGCAAAACTGTACATATTCATAGATTATGCATATATAAGTTATGAAAGCACACTCAAAGAAATGTCAGTTAGACCAATTAGTAAGATACCTAATGGGTGTGAATAGAGAAAAAGAACCATTATCTGGAACGTGACCAGAAAGACGGTTGTTTGACAGGTCCCTGAAAATACAACCATGCTGTGTGTGAGAACTTAAGTGTTTGGGATGGAAACAGAGGTTAAGCAGAGCACACAAATATACTCACAAGACTTGGAGAGCTGAGATATTAGTTAGTGACATCGGTATGGAACCAGTTAGGCTGTTGTTGTTGAGCCGCCTGTCAATGTACAAAATGATTAAAAAGAAAAACTGAATAAGACTTCAAGATGACAATATAAGGGTACACTTGGATCATGGGAAACGTTATGAAGAGGGTGGATTTTGATAAGCAAAGTTGATTTCTTTTTCTTGGCTTTACCTTGAAAAATACAAAAGGAAAATAGAATGTGGTTAATGTTTTCTAAAAATGACATATAGTTAGGTGTCTAAAATGCTATATAATAGAAGAAAAATGAATTTTATGAGTTTCGACCTATGTAGCACGGAAACTCTCGGGAGAGAGTACGCTTCCGTTTCGGAAACTCTACGAAAACTTTTTGGAAACTCTCTAAACAGTTGTTTTTCGAGTAAAAGATGACGTTTCCGTTTCCTCATGATTTTCACGTTTCCATGCAACATAGGTTTCAACAAATATTTAGAATTAAATCTGTTGAAATTAAGTCTATTTCTTATTTCCCACAAATTTTGATTCTTTCATGTTTTCTTACCCTAGATATTTTCTATGGAACGCATAAGTTTCCAAAACAAACTTCAGCCCCAAAGCTAAATCCAGTAATTAGCGCAACCACTGCATTAAGTTGAACCACGTTGATATTTATTTCCTAAGAATATAGTAGAGATATATTCTAATCAAGTAGGCTCCCTTCAACCGCTGTAAATGTTCTTTACAGTTCATAAATGATGCCATTAGAAAGGCAGACAAAGAAATAAAACATAAGAGCATAAAAACGACTTTTTGGAAAGGATATATCTCTACATACAGGAAGCGAAGGTTTGACAGCTTGCCTAAGGAATCTGGTATAGGGCCAGTGAAGTTGTTCAAGTAGAGATCCAAGCTCTTCAGATTTGTCAGATTTCCAAGATCACTGGGAATTACGCCAGTTATCTTATTGCTGTAAAGCTCTCTGCAAAAACATAATTGATTTATTTCATAAGAAACAAAGTTTCTTGTTTCACGTACTAGTTTACACTCTTATTTACTCATATCTGTTTATTTATAAGTAGCTTGAGTAGAATTATATAGCGTCAAAATGGAAATGTTAAATGCACGTGAACCTTGTCGGGGGGGGGGGGGGGGGGGGGGGGGGGGGAGGAATAGCGCAAAAAAGGTAGGTTAAAGGAACTTAGACGTACAAATACTGCAAATTCTTCAGCAAGCCAAGTTGAGAGACTAATTGGCCTGATAGGCCGGCATTTCCCAAATCACTGTAAATAATAATATGTAAGATTTAAGATGGCTTCAAAAAATTTAAAAGTTAATGTGCTCATTTATTATTCAACTTTGCATGCTTAAAATTGAATAGCAAGAGAGAGCATAATTCTCACACTCTTATAACACTGTTAGCACTGTTGCAAGTAACATGAAACCATGTACAAGGATTGACAAGGGTAGGGTCCCAACTCTGCAAAACATTGTTAGGATCTTGTAAGCTGGTCCTTAGGCTGTGCAAAGCATCACCTACTCATACAACACACAATAGTATGGTGTTAATTAATGCACTTATGATCATTCTCATGGTAAGCGCACATTACATAAATAGATGCAAGAGGCAATGAGAAACATTCATCATAGAAAATATGGAGAGTGAAGTTCATTTATGTTCTTGATTATGTCTAGCAACTAACAACAAAGGATATAATACACCCCAGGGTAGGGTTAATTGTTCACACAAACTCATCAAGCATATTCAAAAGTTGAATTTATGCAATTCTCATTTCACTTTACAGGTCCAAGATTTAATTTTTAAGACAAATACCTCAAATATGGGATACCCACTTCAGAAATAAACTCACAAGCATAAAACAGGAAAGACAATTGAAAGAAGAACAACAATAATTGCAATAAAGACAGGCTATCAACCAAATAAACACCTTCCAAGTTAGCAGTAATGAGCGTCAATGGATGAAGAATGATCAGCAACACTGCCAGTAGAACCAAGACCTCTCTCAGCGCCCCTTTCATAATCACATATACATAAAGAATCATCTGTCTCTATATATCTACACTCAAACTACTGCTGCTGCTACCACAACAAAATAAGCAAATGCCCTTCTTAGATCCAATGAAAGGCAAGTTGAATTTATGCAATTCTCATTTCACTTTACAGGTCCAAGATTTAATTTTTAAGACAAATACCTCAAATATGGGATACCCACTTCAGAAATAAACTCACAAGCATAAAACAGGAAAGACAATTGAAAGAAGAACAACAATAATTGCAATAAAGACAGGCTATCAACCAAATAAACACCTTCCAAGTTAGCAGTAATGAGCGTCAATGGATGAAGAATGATCAGCAACACTGCCAGTAGAACCAAGACCTCTCTCAGCGCCCCTTTCATAATCACATATACATAAAGAATCATCTGTCTCTATATATCTACACTCAAACTACTGCTGCTGCTACCACAACAAAATAAGCAAATGCCCTTCTTAGATCCAATGAAAGGCACACTCCTTTACCCAAACCCCCCATAAAACCCTATCCTCTAACAGACCACCCGATCTCATCACCACAACAAAGATTAACTATTTCATTCTTTCCCCTTTTTTCTTGCCCTTTTCAGCTCCTTTTGAGCTTAAAGGCTTCCTCTTCTTCAGTGACCTACCCCTAAATTACACTACAACGTCAAGTCCCTTTCTCTCTCACTTGCCCGTCGTCTTTATTTCTCTGTCATCAGTTGCTTGCCCGGAGAGGGTGTGGGTGAGAAAAATGTTTTCTTTTGATGTGTTGAGCACTTCCCTCCCTCCCACTGTGTTTCTTTTCCCCTTTTCGGGCGTGGGCGGTGATGCGCAGTTTTGCCTTAAGAAGCTGCCCGAACGGGGCTCTGCCCGGCCTACCCGAAATCCTTTACTCCAAAACGGCTTCGAACTTTCTTGACTACTGACTGTCCTTTTTCAAAATAACGTTGAACTTTTATAATTTAGGTACAAGTGCACGTTTGGTCCTCCAAGAATCTTTATTTAGTGATTTGGTCCCCAGATTTTGAATAAAGTTCATTGGATCTATATGCAATATGCCTACATTATTTATCGTAGAATCCTCAAATAGTATTTGAACTATACCAAATTCCCCATTTTCGTTCCTAGACTACAGTTTTAGGTATCTTTGTGATTTTGTCTTTGTATACTATTATACATGTATAATTGACCTTATTTAGTCTGTCACTAGATATTAGATGTGTTCTGAAATTCAACCTTACAATTTCTTAAAATAAGAACACATATTTTCCTGCATGAATTCATTTGAACTTCAATAATTAATCAGTCTCTCACAAAAATCAACTTTTACTAGTTTTTTTTTAAGTTTAAGAGTCTGTTTGGTAACGCGAAAATCGGCTGATTCGACTGATTCTGTTGAAATTTATGAATTCCTGGCTGAAATGGCTGCATTGGCTGAATATGCTGATTTAAGAAAAAATAATTTTTAAAATATATTTTATTAATAAAATAATGAAAAAATTATATGTAAAAATAGCTAATACAGTAACTTCAGCCAATACAGCCAGAAAAGTAACTTCAAATTTACTTTTTCTTATTATTACACAATTCAGCGCGCGAAAACCAAATTTACGTGTTTGGTGAAAAAGTTGGTTGATAAGCCGAAAAATAGTGTTACCCAACGGCCTCTAAGATGGTGTGACTATTGAAAATCATCTGCTATAGATATATTTTCAATTTCAAATATATTTATTTGTTTAACTAAATTTAATGTAACTGTTACAAAGTGATACACGTGTAATTTCCATGTGTATGTTTTATTTTTTTAACTAGTTTTGGTTGTTTGATTTTTTGGAAATTACACACTTTTGGTGTAATAGTTATGTTTGTAATTTAGTTGTAATTCATTTAGATTAGGTTCATTCTGAGTTTAAACAGGTCTAAAATCAATCAAATGATCATTGGTGAAGGAAGGTGCAAGAGTACAAGACAAAAAGAAGGCAAATTCCTGATTTTTGACTTGTACCCGGTCGAGTATACCATGTACTCGATCGGGTACCAACTTGATTTTCAATCAGATCAATCAGGAAACAAAGGGACGTGCAGGGGAAGATTTGGCTACGATCAGTTGTCATACCCGATCGGGTACACCGACACACCCGATCAGGTATGCCTTTTATTTCTACCTTGGATCGATCGAGTAAAGCTCGAATTCAACATTCTGCAAATACCCGATCGGGTACCCTATGTGTACTCGATCGGGTACACGAGCTGCTGATCCATAAGCCTATAAATACACCACATTTCCTTCACAATTAGAGACCAATTCCTTTACACTTCTAAGCTCAGTTTCAAATAGTATTTCTTTATATTTTTCTAGCATGTTTAGTCTCCAAATGAGGAGCTAAACTCTCATTTCTTGGTTTTGCTCTTGAAGCTTGTTGATTATTACAGTTGTGAGTTATTTTCTTAACTTCTTCTCTTGATTATTAATTCTTCCCTTAATTTTATTCTATATTAATGTTGGAGGGTTGCTAAGTGACGATTAGTTAACGTTCCGACATTAATTACTTCTAGAAACGATCAACGAACCGATGGTTAATCGTTGATGGTTTCACAAGTAAGTAACTTCGGTTTATTAATGCACGGTTGTGGTTTATAAACTTAAGAGAGATTAATTTTGTTGGTTAAACCGAAACCATTGTGTTGAGGTTATCAATCTCAATTGATTTCATCAAAGAGATTAAATGCTACTATTATATCGGTATACGTCGTTGTTCTATATTTGATTAATAGTAAGAGCTATTAATGAACGGTCGTTGTTAATAACTACCCTCGATGAATTGGAGATACTCCTCGATTGAGTATTCGAGAGGGGATAAGTTATAGATATAACAATGATCGACTAAAATATATCAACAAGTGGAAAGTAGCAAGGCCAAGTCACTTTTATTCTTGAATTAAATTTCATATAAGTCGTTCATCTTCGTGTTTAATTAAATTAAACCACTCAATCAAAACCCCCCATTTATTTATTAGTTTCATTTTAAAAAGATAATTATTCCTTTCCCTGTGGATACGAACTCTACTACGCTATACTACGTATAAGTGTGAGTATTGAATTTATTATTTTGACGCACCGTGACAAAGTGCACGTCACGGAGTATAATAAAAAAACATTTTTTCGAAAGAACATTAGAATATTAGATATAATAAAATTGCATTTCTTTGTTCAAATAAAAACTCTTTTCGGGGGAGTTCAAGAATAAGTTTTCAAATAGACAGATTCTGTGGTATTGTCAAAACATTAACGTAATTTGTCTACATAAACTAATTAGAATATTGTTATGGAATACTTTAAACACATTTTAGAATAAATTGGTTATTTTTACCTGAGAGAATTCTCTAAATAGGAGTAAAAATGTTTTGAAATTCCAAAATAAGAGTATCATGTTTTTTATTCACTGAATAGACTCCTATTCAACCAAGTTTGGCATTACAAGGTTTTAAACATGATATTTTTTTCCAAACTTGACATATTACCCCTATTCAGAAAATAAAAAACATGATACTCTTATTTTGAAATTTCAAATTATTTTTACTCCTATTTAGAGTCATTTCTGTTTTTACATCAGCATATATCTAAACTTGTACGTAGTAATATCGGAGAGGACATTTTGTAATACGGACTACGGAGTAGCTTTTAAGAGAGTAAATTTTGTAATACGGACTACGGAGTAGCTTTTAAGAGAGTAAATACCACAACTTGTAATTTAGGGACAAAAAGCCGGATTCAATTGTTTTAACCTAACATATGTCTAATAATTGTAATTTGGAGACCCCTACAGCTTCCATCCAAAATTTATACTGTGGTGCATATTTTGTCATTGAAATATTAAGCATATGCAGATATTTTATAAAGGTTAAAGGGAAAACTGTCAAATAGGTTCTTCTACTATTGTCAAAAAGTCAATTAAGTCCTCGTACTTATCTCTTAATCAATTAAGTCCACCAACTATTAAAAAACACTCAAATAGGCCATTTAAACGGTTGGCATCCGGTTGAAGGTCAAATGCACAGACATGACAGTCCATTTGGATTTTTTGTTTTTTCCCTTTTTCATTTTCTTTTACTTTCTCCTCCCCTCTCCTTCTTTCTTCTCCTCTCACGCTTCTTCTTCCTTGCTTTTACCTGCGTGCGTTTCTGCATTTTTTTCTTTTCTTCTTTCCTTGTTTCTTTCGTTCTCTCTTTCTTTCTTATTCTACATAGTAATTCTTTCCACAAAAGGCATCAACCTTCGCCGCCCATCTCTTCCTAATTGGTTGCTGCCGACCAATCGTCGCCGCCGCGGCGCCGCAGCTCGTCTAAACGCCGGTTGCCCACTAAGCCACAACTTGTCTAATCGCCAGTCTGTCTGACTTCTCCAACTGCCATTGGTGATTTCTCGTCGCCCATGACATCTTAAATTTGCCACCCATCACCGGTAGCCAGCAAGTCATCTATCACCCAGTAGCCGCCGTCAACTACACTTCTCAACCGCTGTCAGCCGCCACCCGTAGCCCCCCCAACCAAAGCTTAATTACCTAGCTGACTCCGCATGCCGCCCACCTTCCATGTCTTCCTCAACCTCCGCCCGCCATCCGCCGGCGCCCGCTGCCCATCCAAAAAATGAGAACCGGGAAGAATGGAAGAAGTGAAGAAGATTGGAAAAGAAAGAAATTGGACGAGGAGAAAGACAGTGTAGAGAGAAGAGGAATAAAGAAAAAAAATTAGAAGATCGTCACTGCAAGTAGGCGGAAGAAGAAGTTAGCAAAGGAGAGAAAAAAAGAGAGAGAAATAAGAAGAAACGAGCTAAAGGAAAAGTCCGAATTATTGCCACATTTGCTTCCACATCAGCTACTAACCGGTAAAATATATATCCAACCGGCTAAATAGCAAAATTGGCTATTTTTTAAGAGTTGGTGGACTTAATTGACCGATCTATAAGTATGAGAACTTAATTGACTTTTTGACAATAATACGAGGACCTATTTGACAGTTTTCCCAAGAAGAAACGAGGACAAAATGTGCATGAAATTCATCCCATATTTCGCCTCTAAGAAGGCTTCGATTGAATCAGCTGTCACAACTTCCAGCTCCCGCTCCCCCTCCATGGCTCCAACCCGTCATCAAGCATTATTTTCTTCGGCCATTTCAGATCAGCCACATAGGACATGCCTGAAACATGCAAGGGACGATGAAGTCATTTGAAGTTATTACATTTCTTCTTTTGTAATACTACTTTCATTCATTTTTAATTGCAACATTGGTGAATTTTACATTATTTACAAGTCTTACTTTAACTATATTTTATTTATTAAGCGCTAACTGAAAAAAAGGTATGATTTTTTAATTTGGTTACTCCGTACCAAAGAAATTCTCTAAATGAATAAGAATGGAAGAGATAGGAGTGTCATCCGTTTGGAAAATAAACTATAAATCCCACCCACCTCAATAACTTGTTATCGACTCCAAGATACATGGTATCCCTTTTTCATAACAAACTAATGATTTTTCAAAATTATCTATATCAAAATCAGATAAAATTTCCCAATAATGTAATTAAAAGTGAAATCGCATCATAGACCATTTGTCAAAAGTAAACAACGTAACAGACTTTCATGTGTTGCGTTAATCTTCAGAATCAGATTATTATATATATTGTTATAAAAGCAATTCAGTTGAGATGGCAATCATCTAGGTACACTTTAATTAGTAGCGTGCTGTTTCTCATGATGATTGTGTGGTGTTTCCGTTTGACTAGAGTTAGATTAGCTATAACATGAACCATACATTGACGTTGATTCTGTTTTCATTGCCCCCAAAATCATAACGTTGAGAAAGCCAATGTCTTAATTTATTTGGAGTATAATTCAGATAGAGGTGATTGATCTTCATAG